AAAAGGGATCTTTAAGGGGGTGGAGGTGGCAGCACGGAGGACGGGCTGCACAGTCAGCAACAGGTGGACGACGCGTCAACACCGACTTGTCTGGCCACGGATCTGCGATGACATGTCAGACCTGGCAAGATGGAAGCTTTCAGCGTCTCTGTGGTTGAAATGAGCTACTGTTTTAGGAACTGGAACTCTTTGTTTCTGGGTTTCCTTCTCTCACTCTTTCTCTACTTCAACCTGTGAATTATTTTCCATGTGGAAGTTGTTTAGATCTAACTTTAAAACGATAAAGTATTGAAGTATTTTGCACATTATTTGCAGTCATTAAACTGGCCTGATAAATCCCTGAAAACAAACCAGAGTTTTTCCAGACTAACCTAACTCAGCAGCGTGACCCACGGTTCATCTGAACACATCCAGTTTAAGGTGCAGTAAAAGCAGCAGGTGTTTGTTGTCTCGTCGCTGACTGCGGTTTTCATTAATCCATGGAAACAACTAACTGTTGATCACCTGACAGAGCCCCTCCCCTAAAAACGTTAAGCCGATGTTTTTCTGTGTTTGCACGCAATCTATAGCCGTGAAAGTCACCTGACGTCCACGCCTTACAGTTTCGCATGAACACTGTTTCAATGTTGTTTTGTTCATCAGAGCAGTAACTGCTGGAGTTCTGTGACAGACTTAATCTGAACGATTATGAAATCATGAGGTGAATGTGAGACAGACAGAAGTCAAGGCAGTAACATTAGTTTAAGACAGAGCAAGTAGGAATCATATCATAAAAAAATAATTTGTGTTATGTGTTATTTTAAGGCGCGTGGTTGTGTGCATTAACACTGCCCCGTGTTTGTATTTTCTAAATTTATCTTTACGTCGGTCACGACATTCCGGTGTGAACATGGTCACCGATAGAAAACAGTGCCAGGAAGGGGGCACTAAAACAGTTCCAACTGCTGTCAGTGAGTTGGAAAAAGCAGACTCAGCAGCTCCATGTCGTGTCTTCGTAAACAGGAGGACAGATTTGGACACGCTCGTCTTTCAGACTGTCACTGACTACGACCAGAAAGACGGGTTATTTACGTTGGGTTTGTTTGCAGCCATTGACAAAAACAATCCAATGAAAATGACGAGTACCGTGAGTAAAAAAAAGTTCATGAGGTGAACTTTTAAAACGTGCACACGGTGCAGGAGGCTGCAAAAAAATCTCTCAGCACCTCATGTGCATCACATGGACAAGCATGATCGTCGGAGTGTGTGTGTGTGTGAGTGTGTGTGTGTGTGTGATGCTTATTACTGTAGTAACCATGTCTAACCACAGCCTAACAGCAAACTGGGTTTTATAATTGATCACAAACCATACATTAAATATATTAAATTGAAATATTTATTATATTAATAAAATGTCAAAAAACAATGTTTTCTATACAAAAAAAACCATATAGGAAAAATCTTAATTGTTGAATTTGTATTGTTCCTGTATTTGGTGACATGTCTGTCACAGTAGGTGGAAGGCCGGGAAAATGCATAAAACAAACTGAAAAATACAAAACAATCTCTTTCTTTCTCTCTTTCTTTCTTTCTATTTTTTTTTAAATTGCTTTTCAATAACAGCAGGACTACAAATCAGAACATCTTTGGCCTCAGGGTTGACAGGAAGCATCATGGAAACGTTGGCCTGTCAGTTCATGTGTGTGTGTGTGTGTGTGTGTGAGGAGCAGAGGAATATTTAACTCACATGTTGATAATGTTGAAGAGTTCAGTCATGACATTTAAATGTCAGTGAATTGGAAACAATAATGAAGAAAAAAAAAACTAAAATAATAATAGGATAAATGCGGTATCTTGTCTTGAGCTGTTGTTCAGGGATTATCACAAGTGGCCACTGGGTGGCGTAGTTCGTCCAGTTTTAGATTTGGGCAGCCCTAAGTAAAACTCAGTCATACTACAGTACAGTATTTCTTTTAAAAAAGATTGTGTATTTAACATCAGGACTTAACTTTTTTGAACGTACAGTAGCTAAAAAAAACAAACAAACAAAATAGAGTCGTGTTTTAAAAAAAAAAAATTTAATCACATCTTTATGAGTTCTATGTTTGCTTGTAAAAACATCCTGATTCTCCGCCTTGGGCATAAATCTGTCACATCCATCTAAAAAACATTTGTGTCCAAATCCACTTGACATGGCTGCCACTTCTGAACTGCACACACACACACTTACACACACACACACACACACACACCCACACACAGA